TTCGCACATTTAGCCATTGCTCTAAATGTGAAAATTATTAGGGATTACATTAAGTTGCAACGATATGCGATAGCTAGGTAGAGATGGGTTGATTCAAGGTTGATTTGATGTGACATACGTAGTTCCATTAGATAATTCAAGTAACTGATAGGCATAACATAATTTATATTATTACATGGTTCGTATGTCGTCTGGGGAGTGGAGATGTAATAATTTTGACAGTTGACCGCCATTTTCACATTTAATTTAACTTTGAAGGAAAACATAGGTATTTTTGTTAGCGACACCACGGCAAATGGCAATAGTAATCCGCGCGTTTGAATCCTTTTTCAATTTTCTTCTGAGCAGCGACATGCTTACCGATATCTATTAGCGAGTTGGAGTGTGCCATGTAATAAAATGAATACTAAGTGGGGTAAATGCAATACGAAAAAGTTATTGCCCTCTGTGACGCAACTGTAGCCCTCGCGCAAAGACAACAAGCATGATTGCCCTCGGCAGCCGACGAGGGCTTTATTGCCCTCGGGCAATAAAGCATGCTTCGGTTTTCACCCCCGGGCTTCAGTGACGCCACATCGGGAATAATTTTTACTACTGTCCGCTTCCCCATACAGTATTCATGTATCTGTTACAGGGAGTATGCGATTTCAGTTAGTTTGCAACGACCCTAGGGTGGTTGTAACCTCCCTGAACGATCAGTTTGTTTGCAACGACCCTAGGGACGTTACAAAATAACTGCTCGTTCCGGGACGTTGTAACGAAACTAGGGTCGTTGCAACCTCCCTAGTTAGTATGCAACGAACCTAGGGTTGTTACAAAATAACTAGGGAGTTTAAGAATTCATCGAGTCTCGTTTCACAGGAGGGCCGTCAACAATCTTGTCCAATGAAAATCGAAATGAAGTCCAAAAATAAAAGAAAAGGAGAACCAAATTTGAACATTCAGCTCAGAAGTATATGTGGTGCCCGGGACAAAGCACGTAACTGCTGTGATAATTTTGGCTGCATTATATCGTCAGCCATATGCTTACATGTAGAAAATATAGTTACTGGGGTAGGTGTGATGGATATCCGTCGCTATCCGTGTGCGGGTTATCCCTCACACTTTTAGGGGTGCGGGTCGGATAAAACCCATCGTTTTTTCGCTATTATCTCGCGCTAAAAGCGGCCGATCGTGACGAAACTTTGAGTGTCCTCGAACTTATCTACGTTCTGGTTACACATTCCCTATACAGCTCATGATCCTAAAACCAATGACCTTTGATCTGATTTCTGAGACCATGGCAGACCGAAATGATTTGCCGTTTTGTTAGCGCACATAAAATTGCGCCAGACTTCTATTGTGATTACATATAAACGTGCCAACATGTGAACCATGATGGTTGTCCCATGCATCATGATGGGTTTCAAGTTGACTTGTCAGTTGTCGGCCTGCGGCCAGGTCAAGGTCATTGACGTTTGGTGACTTCGGGTAACTGTTTCAAATTTTGCGATTTTAAGGAATTTTTTAGCTTATTTCAAATCCAGCATTCGTTGATACATTTGAGAAGTACGTACGTATAGTTGTGGTGCCAATGCAACTTGCTACGAAGCTGTCGCTGGTGGTTTAGGTACACCTGCTATAAACAGGTGGTGCGGGTGGGACGCCTACTGTACTACTTGACCCAAACTTACCCAACCCAGCCTAGCTTAATCCTCGCCCCGCCTAGTTTTTTTTTTTCGCGATAGCTCCGAACACACCAGCAACAGAGAGCTGAAACTAGGCATACCTGACGTTTGATTCAAGCCGGATCTTGTTACACCAACCAGATTTCAGGTTAGGTAACAGACCTGAACAGGCCTCTGTTAACAGGTAACAGACCTGTTACACTTCAGGTCAGGTTACTGACCGACGTCATAAGTGGACGGTCCTCAGATGCCGCAACTTCGCAACGCCCTTAGTCCCAGAGGAGCTTTTACAGGGGGATAAAACTTACAGTACGAGCATCTTCTAGAAGTCTCACAACTTGTATACCTCTAGGATTTCTCCTAAAGATCACATGAGGTCAGGTCGGTCACGTGACCTCACCACTAAAGTCAATTGAGAAAAATGAAAACTGCTATTCTGGCGCCGGGAACGATCTCAAACTAGCTCAACCACACGGATCGCGATTTCATGCACTCCTTGCAAGGTAAGATGCTTCAATTTTGCATTGTTGACGTTGCATGACGTCATTTATGACGTCACTAGGGTCATACGAGCTTTTCGTCAATAACTCCCGCTCAAACTGAGCTAGCGAGTCGGTCAAGCCACCAATGGACTGAGGAAGACCTGCCGAATCGAATAATATGCAACATGACCTCCTTTGACCTGCTATTTTTGACAACGATGAAGCCGATTTCACTCCTCAGCGAGGAAATCACGATTTTGGAAAGATAAGCACTGATTTTCGAAAAGAAGTGCTGCCACCTGGTGCAAGAAGAAGAAGCCAGCTTTAATATGCCCGTTGTTTGTATGGTAGTTTGTTTTGTGGCCTGAAGTTGAAACTTAAAATTGAAGCATCCGAAGATGATCGATATTGATCGAAAACATGACGTTGATGAAAAAAATATGTTAAGTTGAGAGAGGAGGTCATTTTACCCAGATGCGGTGGTTAAATTCATGCAATTAATTATTTTTGCTAATTGACGGCCGCGCATCATCCGTCATTACATGGCAATCGTCATAAACAAAAATAATTTCAAGAAGTAAACCACCGCATCTGGATGAAATCGCCTCCTTTTTCAACTTAACATAATCTTTTTTCATCAAAATTATGTTTTCGATCAATATTGATCATTTTCGGATGCTGCAAATTGAAGTTCCAACTTCAGGCCACAAAAAAGGGTACACGTCAACGTTGGACTACCATACAAACAACGGCCATATTAAAGCTGGTTTATTCTTCTTGCACCAGGTGGCAGCACTTCTTTTCCAAAATCAGTGCATGTGCTAAAAATGACAGCGATTGACCAAACCTCCCCTGAATGTAATGTCTTGATGTTTTTAGGCCAGGTCGGGTCAGGTCAGGTCAGGTCAACCAGTAGGCGTCTTGCTAGCTGTCCATAGTAGGTGTCAACCACCACTGCCAGCTTCGTGACATGGTACGAAGGCGCCAGTTACTTTCGTAAATGTTCAAATGGGTGCTAAATTCGAAATCAGCTCCAACAACTAGCCTAGAAATATATGAACCCAGAAGAAATGAGCTAAGGTCATCAAAGGTCAATGACCTTGACCTGACCTTCACGTGACCTTGACAGTTGACACCCACCATAATGCATGGGACCACCATCATTTCACATGTTTGAATGTTTACGATCACAAAAAAAAACTGGAAATGAGCGGATAATAGCCGTTTTTACGAAGGGCTTTCTGGCGAATTTAAAATTTGAATTAATCTAATTTGAATTAGTCTAATTTGAACAAATATGCACCAAATGTGCACCTAACCTGCACAAAATGTGTAATAGATGGCCGTCGTGAAATACTCCTGAGCTGAATGTCCAAATTTTGTTCTCCTTTTCGTTTTAAATGAACTATGTAGATTGAACAAGATTTTCATTGGACAAGATTGTTGACGGCCCTCCTGTGAAACGAGACTCGATGAATTCTTAAACTCCCTAGTTATTTTGTAACAACCCTAGGTTCGTTGCATACTAACTAGGGAGGTTGCAACGACCCTAGTTTCGTTACAACGTCCCGGAACGAGCATTTATTTTGTAACGTCCCTAGGGTCGTTGCAAACAAACTGATCGTTCAGGGAGGTTACAACCACCCTAGGGTCGTTGCAAACTAACTGAAATCGCATACTCCCTGTAACATATCAACACTTCGTTTCGGCTTTGCTACCTGGAATAAACAATAAATACAGCGCAATAAAGAGTTGAATTATTTTCTTCTCTAGAAACGTCTGCAATCAAAATTTCAAAAATAAAACAGCACGTTGAGATTCCACGATCAATGCCATTTTATTTCACACCAATCATAACTACATTCCATCATGCAGTCGCAGCTAGGAAGCAAAATTATAAAACATTACCACCACAATTTGAGGCAAAATCGAATGCTGCACGCAACATATGGGACGCCTCAAGACACTTTAAAGCAAACAAATGGCCATCAAAAACATGAATTTTTTGCACAGTTTAACGCTTTGGGAAAATTCTGACCAGTTAAAGTAGAAAATGGGTAAATGTAAATATTATAACCAAAAATTCGGCTGTTTAGGCGCAAAGACACGAGAGACCCTACAGCGGATTCCACAAAGGAAACTCAGACGACTGGGTCAGGAAAAAGGCTGCAACAAAACTACAACTCCCTGTCTCACCAGAACCAACAGTCAATCTTCCAAGTTATAAGGCATCTGTTCATCAACAACTGTCGAAAGTCAACAAATAGACACGGTTGTTTTGTAGCAGCTGGTCCTTGAAAAGATGCGAGGACACCCACGACTTTTTTACCACATCTGGGCCAACGAAAAAACGTTTTTTTCAGCTGGATAACGGGTAGACTCAAATCACTTTTTGTGAACACAAAACTTTCAACCAGCAGTCCCACGACCACAGGAGAACTCAAGAGGGCTGCGACGTTCGCAGTGTGCCTCATGCGGTACAAGACCTGCCGGGCCGCGCTGGTGTCCGCACGGCGACGCGCCAAGCTGTGATTGGGGAGAAAAAGGGCTATCTGTAACTCGTCTTCTTTGGCTGCAAGTGAGCAGCCAGCACGGATAAGGCGCTACCACACAGAATGGCATTAATCTTTGTGTACATATGATAGGCACTGATTCGTTTTTCATCCTTTCTTCAATATTTGAATTATAATGTTTTAAATTCGACTGCTTATTTAGGAACTCCCGGCATCTTTGTCATCATAATTCCGATTTACTATGCTACTGTTAACTATAATATTGCATATCATACTACATGTAATGGTACATAGCTCTTCAACAACAGCAGCGAACATCGAAGTAACAACGTTTTCTCTCTATTCCTTGCTGGTCTGCCCAGCTTCCTGTTCTGGTCCCGGAGAATTCGTCAATTTATCAGAAGATAAATCAGACTCGGCAGGTGGTAAAGGTGCGCCGCTCAGACCCGCAGTTGATTTTTTCGGCTCAAACATGATTTTTTCGAGGTTAATGAAAGGAACCTCAAATGTTAGCGAAAGGAGCATGGCTGCGGCGAAACTGACCACAACGTGGGCAAGAAGATGGTACGTGAAGCGATACGAATCGACGTAGACAGTACTCTTCACAGAGCCGTCTACGAGGGTTAAAACGTTGATGTGGATAAGATATCCGGCGTACGTGAGCCGGCTGAGCGGAATGAAGCCCGGGTAGGAGAGGAACGTGTTGATGGGCCCGCCGTAGCCGGTGACACAGGCAAAGATGACCCAGCCGACTGCCACGCCCCACGCGGTGCGGTTGAGTCCTCCATAGGACACGGCCACGGCTTTGCTGAACTCTTGCCAGGGCATTTGATATCCAATCATGCCGAATATCACCGAGATACCGATGGCGAAGGCTGCGACCCAGCCGGACAGCCAGAGCCACGGCTTCAGGGTGATCTGGCGGCCGCGCAGCCTGTGGAGTAGGTAGCCGAGACCGATCCCAGTCAGCCAGACTGTGCAGCGCATCCATGGATATGCATACTGAGTCACCATTTCCTCGGCTGCCTCAACATCAGGAACATTAAATGAGAAAAGCGTAGGAGGCAGGTTTTTGGTGCTCCATATAGCTATCCGCAAAGAAAGAAAGGCAACAGTGAGGAACCCGAGCCAAAGAGCCCCCCACAGAGGTTTCCACACAAGAGGAAGCAAAATTACTGGAGAAACCAAGAACATTTGCATGTCTGTGGCCAGGTACCAGGTTTGAGCCAAGCACTCTTCCTCGATCGGGGTAAAGTTCTGGATATAGAGCAGATTACGCCACCAGTCTTTTTGACAAATGTCTTGTTGTGGTTCCACCATCCGAGGCCAAAGAGGACCGCTTCCAAAGTACACAAATATGGTGGCATTAATAGCAACCATGATTGCCATCGGTGGTGTCAGACGCAAATATCGGTGAAGGTAAAACATGAAAACGTTAAACTTTCTTCTTTTCTCGTAGGCTCCACAAAAACTGTAAGCTAGCACGACCCCTGATAACAAGTAGAATGTATCCACACTTAGCGTCGCGTTATCAATCACTTGAAACGCAACTGTTTTGAACCAATCCAATGCGACGAAGAAGTTTTGGTCATACGAAGTAATTTGTGACGCAGCATGCCCCAGAAGCACCCACGTCATAGAAAAGAAGCGAATGCCATGGATACACCTCAGCGTCCCTTTACTTGTAGACGTATCCAGCAGCTTTTTGGTGTTGGTGTAAAGGGAAAATGCGACCAGGACTCTTTGCCAGTTGGCCAGGACGGGCGGCTTTCTCTGTTGCATCGTGGCTGGCTTGGGCTCGACGACATGGAGCATCTGTGGCAGCCGCGAGTTGGGACTGTCCACGACGGACGTCATCCTGAGCTTGTCGGCCTGCCGCTCGGCCCGGTATCCGAGCCACACGTCCAGCGCCGTGCCGACCAGCAGCAGGACGCCGACCAGCGCCAGCAGCGTGATGACCACGATGTCGGCCGGCTGCAGGTCCACCGTCTGGTCGGCCACCTCGGACGTGAAGGCCGTCACCGTGACGTTGTCCCCCAGCATGCTCTGGAGACCCGTCTGCACATCCACGCTGGAGCAGCTGGACGGCACACACAGGCCGATCACCCCGGTAGGTATTCCCAGTGTTGGGAGGATGAAGATGGTACCAAGGCCGTCATCCCCTTCCTGCCGCCATCCGCCGACCTCCTCGTCACCAACCGACGGCACAGGGGCAGGTGCCACCGTCACTGGCACATACCGACCGGTGAACTGGAGCTCCTGGTCGTCCAGATCTGGGTACGTGTCGTTATCCAGGCTCGCCTTCACCAGAAAACACTCGTCTCTGCTGCCGAACACGTTCAGGTTACCCACCAGAATGCCGTCTGGGAGCTTGCCACTGGCATCAAACACTGCGAAAAGAAATTTCTTTCAATCTTTATCAGAATGCATATCACACAGCTGTTCGAGTGTTCGAACTTCGAGATGACACGTAAGCTAGCTGGATGGCCAATGCTTATTCGCACATAGGCGGCTGTGGGCACATTGTCACACATACAGACGAAGGAATTGAGCCAGTCTAATTAGAACGGACGGTGAGAGGTGTGGCGGAACGGACCCGTCCCACCCCTCACCGTCCGTACGGACCCGTCCCCACCCCTCACCGTCCGTACGGACCCGTCCCCACCCCTCACCGTCCGTACGAACCCGTCCCACCCCTCACCGTTCGTACGGACCCCTCCTCACCCTTCACCGTCCGTGCGGACCCGTCCCCACCCCTCACCGTCCGTACGGACCCTTCCCACCCATCACCGTATGTATGGACTCTTCCCAAACCTCACCGTCCGTACTACCAAACTGGGAGTTTGATAGTATAATAGGAGCTTATGAGGACCCCCACACCCCTCACACTGAAGAGAGGAGACCCGCTGTAGAGAGGAGACCCGCTGTAGAGAGGAGGCCCTCTGTAGAGAGGAGGACTTCCTCAGTAGAGAGGAGTCCCTTTGTAGAGAGGAGGACTCGCGCCTCAGTAGAGAGGAGGCCCTCTGAAGAGAGGAGGCCCTTTGCAGAGATGAGGTCCTCTGTAGAGAGGAGGTTCTTTGAAGAGAGGAGGCCCTCTGTAAAGGAGGCCCTCTGAAAGGGAGAGACCCTCAGTAGAGAGGAAGACCTCTGTAGAGAGGAGGCCTTCTGTAGTTAAGAGGCCTTGCGAAAAGAGGAGGCCCGCAGTAGAGAGGTGGTCCTCTGTAGAGAGGAGGCCCCCTCTGTGTTTTGACAAATCTTTTTGCAAGTTTTTCGCGGCGCTTCGCGCCGCCGATTCATGTACGTACAGGTCAATACGAAATCGTGACTGTAATTACACCAACCAACCGTGACAAATTGAATTAGAACTCATATGTGTAACTGTGAAGGAACTCCGGCTTGTACTGCCATGCTCAAAGGGTGGTAAAATTTGTGTTTTGGAGTTGTGTTTTGACAAATGCTTTTGAAAATTTTCTCGGCGCTTTGTGCCGATTCATACACCAATCAATCAGAGAGATCGTGACTGTAATAACATCAACCGTGTCAAATTGAATCGGAATTCATATGTGTACTGTGAAGGAACTCCGGCTTGTACTAGCATGCTATAAGGGTTGTAATGTTTGTGTTTTAGAGCTGTGTTTTGACAAACGTTTTTTCCACACAAAAAATTGCGGCGCTTCGCGCCGCCGATTCATGCACAGGTCAATATGAGAGATCGTGACTGTAATAACACCAACCGTGTCCAATTGAATCGGAATTCATATATGTGTACTGTGAAGGAACTCCTGTTTGTACTAGCATGCTAAAAGGGTTGTAATATTTGTGTTTTAGAGCTGTGTTTTTGCAATTTTTTTTTGCAAATTTTTGCGGCGCTTTGCGCCGCCGATTCATAAACAGGTCAATAAGAGAGATCATGACTATATGCTACTAATGCATTAGGCTAAAAGTGTGGTAACTATATCTACTTCTGGGTTTTTAAGTACGTCGATCCGCCCCCCCCCCCCCAGTAAAAAAATCCGTAGCGACGCCCCTGTAGAGGTGGGTTTCACTAACTGAAACTACTGAGCCGAGTGACTAATAACGATTAAACTTCATCTTAGAAACGACGAAGATCAAATGTGATTTGATTTCGACATACTCGCCCCCCCCCCCCCGGTCGTCAGAATTCATCCATCAGACCCGGCATGTCGGCCGACTTGTGACCCCCTCCCAAACGTTCCCCTAGATCCGCCCTAGGAAGGTAATATGATTTTGGGCCCTTTGAGACACTTGGGGCCTTTTCCTTGAGGGCCCCTCGAGGCCTAGTCCCCCCCCCCCACCTCTGAAATCATTTCTCCAGCCCTGACGCTATTGGCTGCGAACGTAGGGGCCAAAAATGCGTGTCTACGACCGACTTCTTTTTAAGAGAAAAGAAGCGCCAATGCGGGTATCGATCCACCGACCTTTCGACTACCAGACCGGGACTCGAACCACTCGGCTACGACGACACACCATGGTAACCACTAGCCATATAAAATTGGAAACAGTCTCAACTCAAATCTAGCCTCAATGCATACATTGTCGCGTCGGATGGCTATGACATCGCACTAGAGATGTCGCTAGTTGGTCGGCCGATTCGTGTAATACACCTGGCGAATACGCCGCCCGGCAATGTTGGTTGATGCAGTCCGCTAAGGTTTTTGCAAATAGCGTAAAGATAGGCATACGAAGATAGGCATACCGCAAAATTTGGCATACGCTCTAGGGCAACTTTTCGCACCTATCCTGAGAATTTCAAGTCCCAGTCTTTTCAGGGCAGGCCACAAGGTTACGAAAACCGGTACAAGGTCAAGGGAAAATTGGGCTTGTTTAATGGCAGCTGAATGACAGAGTTATTCGTTGATAGCGTGGGTGCTATGGCACGTAGCGCTACCAAATTTAGACACAAGTTGGAGCATCTGTTTGACACATGACCTGTGAGTTTTAGATTCCAGTGAGTTGAGGTCAGGTCACAAGGCCACAAAAACCGGTACATTGTTAAAATGGCACTAAAATGCACTATGTTGTTCATGGAAACTAGAGTTCTTCATCGATTTGATTCATACTTGCAGGATATGCTTAGGTCACCATGTGCCATCATATGTAATTATGCAGTATGCACCCCAGGTTTTTTAAATTCGGTTGACCTGAGGTCATCTGGAGGTCATGACAATTGTTAAAGAAATTGGACCGAATGTGAAAAGATAAGACATTTGTGCTTTATTTTAACGTTTTAGTGTTTAACTACCGTGATTTACATCTACTTGGTGTTTGCAAGCTGCAAGTACGCTTGGGTCGGGTCAACTCAGGTCAACTAAGGTTAAACTACGTTTTTGCTAATAACTTGGTACACAATAAGGCTAGAGCTTCAACAATGAGGTCGTTGTGTTCCTTGTGATCAGGCGGTTCGAATGATATGCGATATGCTGCATTTTGATTAAGTTAAACTTAATAAATTACTTTAACTTCACCTAATTTCTAAAGAAAACTTTTAATTAATTTTAAATTGGTAACGAAGTATGTATATCATTCGATGCGCACGGATGTCCTAAGTTAACCGGTGCTTTTATTTTTGCTCAATCTTGGTAAAAATTATAAGCGAAAAACTTTTGACATGTTTAAGCGCATTTTTTGCAATTATATCCCCCCCCCCCAAAAAAACCTAAATATTGACGTACAGTCACCAAATTTTCACGGGGGCGAGATCTTCCATGGACCCACCTTCCCTGTAAATTTGGCGTTCGGCGAGGGTTAACCCTCGCTCGCACATGCCATTTTCCCATCCTAGAACGCACATGGGGGGGGGGGTTGCCACCCCCGCGCCATTTCGTTCCTGTTGGAGATAGAGCTTAGCGGTAAAGACCAAAAAGATTCTTTGGGAAGACACAAATCCAATGATACCCAGTTTTACCTTCTCAGGTCAGTCATTGACCTTCCAGGTCAGGTCAAACTAAAAAATGTTGCTGTTTTGGGTCACCGTTGGATATCAAGTGCGCTGCTTATCATATACCGATGACGATGCCGTTTTCTGGTGCCAAGCCAGCTAGAACCTCTTTATCACACTACCGGACCAGGTTTTTGCTGCTGAGGTCATTTCAAGTCAATTTAGGTCAAGGTCAATTATATGTGTTTGTATGTATGTGTGTGTCTATGTGTATGTATACTGAAGTGCACCGATTGTTTATGTGTCCATACACAGATAACAGTAGTACTTTTATTGTTACCACTGTTACTACCAATGTTACTTTTATTTGCTCAAAAATTAAAGTATTTCACTCTTAATTTGATCATTTAGAGGGCACAATGCGTGGTGTTTTCTTTGGAAAAAAAATTGTGGTGCAAAGCCTTACATACGTATAGGTATACATCAACAATGGAGGAGGGGAATGAGCGGTAAAAAACTGCCGTTCTGGCTACAACTCAACGAACCAAGAGGAACAAAAGATTAAAACATGAGATGTCTCACATGCCACCTATTCGCTTCTCTCACCGAAACATCTCTACGGGCTCAGTGGTTTGGCGCCATGGGTCACCGTGACCGGGCTGAGTGGGATCAGGACTATTCCGCTGTGTGTGAGCTGCATTTCAGAAAGGAAGATTTCGAAGAGGATCGGTCATTTCGCACCGGCATGCAGGGACAGCGCCGTCGGCTCAAGAGCGGCGCAGTCCTGTCAGTATTGACCAGCGTGGATTACGCGATGCCCCCTGTGCACGAGCGGCCAGCGAAAGGCATCCGCACGCCACTCACACCGGAAGCAGGTTATGAAGGGCCAGACCGATGCGTTCTTCACGAATGACAATATCAGATATCAGGTGGCAACTACAACTGGTCGAGTGTCCGACAGTTCCTGGAGAATGAGGCGGTACTCCGAAGTCGAATTAAGGGCCTCAGATGGTGGTCACTGGTCACGTTTCAGCCCCGCCGACGCCTCCGCCCGAATGGCACCATCACAGCAGGAGTGACAGCAGGATGGTGCTCTTGTCATCCAGGAGCTAGTGGCCGCGCTGGCGAAATCCACTGAAATGGAGGACCTGGATGACAGCGCCAAGGCCTCCCTGGGACACAGCTCCGGCGCCTTGGCACGCTCGGCCACCAGGCGTAACAAGTACGTTGCCTCCGCCAGCGTGCTGATCTATCATGGGGCTACGCCGCTGGAGGTACGACTGGAGAAAGACGAGGAAGACATCGACCTCACCGTGAGTATCTGCCATATTTGGAGGCAACTGCCGAAGACGGAAGCTAATAGGAACCAGCTGCTGGTCTGCGATCAACCAAGAAGTGACGCAGAAGTGACGAACATAGTCGTAAAACGGGATGTCAAACTGACCGGAAGTCGTTTGCAATCATAGCCACGACGTCCTTAGGAGCCTCCTTCCAGAGATGTATGCGACGGTTTTCAATCTATTTGCTGGAAAGTGTGGAAACATGGTAACTGATAAGTGAGGCAGACACTCAAGGCAGTGCTGTCCATCGAAAGTCAGGAAGCAGACACCCCAGCCACTGGTACAGCCCGATCGAGGAGCGACATGAGGCCAAAGCTCAGCAGGGTCAAGAAGATGTAAGGCGGGGAAGTAAGGTCGCTGATGAAATTGGGAGGAAAGGCGAAGCAAAGTGACACTTGAAGAGGTGTTTTGTGACGTTAGTTTGAATTTTGACGTTTTGATGGTTCGTTGTGACAGGACTGGTGTCGATTAGCATGTAAATAAAGAGATCAAACTCCCATGTACAAGTGCTTTTTGTGGATGAGAGGGAGGAATCATTATAACCAAATCAGTGGCATACGTTCCCTCACTTCGGTGAGGAAAGTGCAACCAGCAACGTTTAGTAAAATAAGTTTCCATTATGCAAAAATGCAACAATAAACACGAGCACGGCTAGATTGCTTCTTTATAAGTTTCATTCACATAAACCAATATTTTCTTTTTGTTGCCTGTGAGAGGAGATATCGAAGTCTGGGCACGAAATATTCGGCTGTTTTCGGCCCCTTACTGCAGCCACCGGAATCCTGTTTCCAATTTATATTTTTGAATTATTTCGACAATAGTCGTCAGGCTTGTATGTCAACCCAAGCCGGTATAAAGGTCAGGTATGCACGTATTACATCGTCTAGTGTATAGAGGGGGGTGGTCCTTACGAACCCCTCTTGCGATGCGGCCCCTGATCGAGCTAGAGATTCGCAAAAAAGTAGCGTGCTGCCCGTTACGAGATATCCCGATAATGCTCAGTTTTAAGTCCATAGGTCATTGGATGATCTTGCAGTTCAGAACAATGACCCAAAAGTCGGGAAAATTGGGACGTGCTAGAGCTTCGTTAAGTTAGGCCATTGCGTTAATATCTTTTTTTCTGGGGGGTCTGATTACCGATTTCATGCTTGTTTTAGTCAACGATGATGTGTTCATGCATTTAGGGTAGGTCGATTCAGGTCAGGTCAACGAGTAGGTCTATAGAAGGTGTCAACCACGGACCACCTCTGTCAGCTTCGTAACATGTTTCATAGTCGCCAAACCTATTTTTAAAGTGTTCCAATGGGTACATAATTCAAATTCATCTCCAAAACCTATTATAGAAGCATTTAAAACTCGAAAAAGTGAAGCAAGGTCACCTAAGTTCAATGACCTCCAACTTCCTCTCTTTTTTTCAAAACGGCGGGCATGAGAGCTTCTCCCTTAGAATCTGTTTTGTAGGCTCAAATTTCGGAACATGAGACGTCACTGAGCCGTCATTGATGGCCGACATATTACAATATTTTATATCAGTTTTAGTCAAAGTGTGTAAAATTGATTTGGGAATAGATATTCCAAATAAAGTGGCGATGTCTTCAACACTGGGTATGTCGAGAAAAAAGCAGGAAGCGTTTCTCCCACGCCTCCGGTTAGGTTCAATAAAATGCTACGTCCAAGCATACAACCGCACCTTCCATGGAGTACATGTGCTCCCAAGCTGGCAAGGGTAGTTGGTTGGCAGTCCATGAAGCATGAGGGCTGATGTGCACTTTGAGCTCTTCCTCTGAGAATTGGCACTGATGTCTGTTTGTAGGCTCCAGATAAAAGATCCCACCGCGTGCGTTCATTGCTTGTGCTCCAATCTCCGTAATCAATTACTCACACGTCCGTTGATGACGCGATGTCGCGATAGGCGGCCGGGCGCTATAGCCGTCTGCCGCTCCACCGACCCGGCCAGTCGGTCTCGGCCGCAGCAGCCCACGGACCGTCTCGTCGCCCCCGACCAGCCCCGGACATGACCCGACTCGCCCCGCTGCTGCCGCCGCTGATGACGGTGGCGGCCGTCTTGGTGGCGGTGACGGCGGCGGCCGGCAGCGGTGACGCCGCCCTCGACGGACGCCTGTTCAACCTGGTGCCGCGGCCGCGCCTGCAGGAGCTGACCCTCGCCGACCTGGATGCCACCCTGGACGTGCTGACCGACCTGCTGGAGGAGAGGACGCTGCCCTCCGGCGGCAAGGGCTTCGTCTCTCGGATGGCGGCGCCGACGCTGTACTCGGACAGTGCTCTCTGTCAGAGACACACTCAGATCTACTGGGAGCAGTTCTCGACCGGAGCGCCGACCGGGTGGCCGCAGCTCAGTAAGTACAGCCCTCTGCAAACTGCGTGGTAGGTATTCTTTTTTCTACAAAACCGAGAATAAATCGAATACCATGCAATCGGTCATTCGGAAATCGTAACAGCAAGACGCGCGAGACTCCGCACCTTAGATTGGCATAATCATCGTACTCATTTTCCATCCATTTTGGCAACAAAACCCAAAAGTTTATATTTGCCCCAAAAACAAACTTTTGCATTTTGTTGCCACACAAGGCGCATACTTCAGTTTAGTGATAGACCTAATCGAAGGAGTGGAGCATGGCGCATCTATCTGCAGTGAGTTCCGACCGATTGATAGCATAGCCTTTGAGATATTATCGTTATTAACAAAAAAAAAGAATACCTACCACGCAGTCTGCTGAGGGCTGTACATATTACATGGTGCATTATTTTCAAGAGATACCTATGCGAAATGCGGTTAACACTTAACGATGTTTTAGAATGTTTTTTAGGCACTGCGATCTTTCGAACGCACGTCACCTCTTCTGCCTACCTAACTTTTTTAAGCTCAACGGGACCCGTTGCATCATATCCCTCACTGTCCGTTCTTGACTGAAGAAGTCCATTTGTCTATTAGCGTGCAAAATCTTCAAATGATTTTTGTATATCAACTGTTCTCTTTAAACAATAAAGAAGTATGCTGAGGTTGAAAGAAATTTCTTTTCGCAGTGTTTGATGCCAGCGGCAAGCTCCCAGACGGCATTTTGGTGGGTAACCTGAACGTGTTCGGCAGCCGAGACGAGTGTTTTCTGGTGAAGGCGAGCCTGGACAACGACACGTACCCAGATCTGGACGACCAGGAGCTCGAGTTCACCGGTCGGTATGTGCCAGTGACGGTGGCACCGGCCCCTGTGTCGTCGGTTGGTGACGAGGAGGTCGGCGGATGGCGGCAGGAAGGGGATGACGGTGTCGGTGCCATCTTCATCCTTCCAACATTGGGAATTCCTACCGGCACTGTCGGACTGTGTGTGCCGTCCAGCTGCTCCAGCGCCGATGTGCAGACGGGTCTCCAGAGCATGCTGGGGGACAACGTCACGGTGGTGGCCTACACGTCCGAGGTGGCCGACCAGACGGTGGACCTGCAGCCGGCCGACATCGTGGTCATCACGCTGCTGGCGCTGGTCGGCGTCCTGCTGCTGGTCGGCACGGCGCTGGACGTGTGGCTCGGATACCGGGCCGAGCGGCAGGCCGACAAGCTCAGGATGACGTCCGTCGTGGACAGTCCCAACTCGCGGCTGCCACAGATGCTCCATGTCGTCGAGCCCAAGCCAGCCACGATGCAACAGAGAAAGCCGTCCGCCCTGGCCACCTGGCAAAGAGTCCTGGTCTCATTTTCCCTTTACACCAACACCAAGAAGTTGTTGGATACATCTACAAGCAAAGGAACGCTCAGGTGCATCCACGGTATTCGCTTTTTCTCCATGACATGGGTGCTAATAGGACACGCTACGTTTCAGGTGCTTGTTTACGATCAGAATATCTTCGTCGCCCTGGATTGGCTCAAGACCCCTGCTTTTCAAATGGTCGATAATGCAACACCAAGTGTAGACACATTCTACCTTTTGTCTGGAGTTGTGCTGGCCTATAGCTTCTGTGGAGCCTACGAGAAAAGAAGAAAGTTTAACATCTTCATGTTTTACCTTCACCGATATTTGCGTCTCACACCACCGATGGCAATCATGGTCGCCATTAGTGCCACCATATTTGTGTACTTCGGAAACGGTCCCATTTGGGCAAGGTCAGCGGAGCCGCAGCAGGACTTTTGTCAAGCAAACTGGTGGCGTAATCTGCTCTATATCCAGAACTTCAGCCCGCTTGCAGAAGAGTGCTTGGGTCAGACATGGTACCTGGCCACAGACATGCAAATGTTCTTGTTTTCCCCAGTAGTGCTGCTTCCTCTTGTGTGGAAGCCTCTGTGGGGCACACTATGGCTGGGCTTCCTCACTGTCGCGTTCACGGCCCTCCGAATAGTCATGTGGAGCGTCAAGGAACTGCCACCAACTCTTCTCCTGCTCAATGCTCCCGATCCTGAGGCAGCTGATGAGTTGATGGTTCAGTACGCCTATCCGTGGATGCGCTGCACAGTCTGGCTGACTGGGATCGGTCTCGGCTACCTACTCCACAGGCTGCGCGGCCGCCAGATCACCCTGAAGCCGTGGCTCTGGCTGTCCGGCTGGGTCGCAGCCTTTGCCATCGGTATCTCGGTGATATTCGGCATGACTGGTTATCAGATGCCCTGGCAAGAGTTCAGCAAAGCTGTGGCCGTGTCCTATGGAGGACTCAACCGCACCGCGTGGGGCGTGGCAGTCGGCTGGGTCATCTTTGCCTGCGTCACCGGCTACGGCGGGCCCATCAACACGTTCCTCTCCTACCCGGGCTTCATTCCGCTCAGCCGGCTGACGTACGCTGGATATCTTATCCACATCAGCGTCCTTCTGCTTGTGGAGGGGTCTGTGAAGAGCACCGTTTACCTCGACTCGTACCGTTATACGTACCGCCTCCTTGCCCACGTTATTGTCACTTTCGCTGCAGCCATGCTCCTCTCATTGACGTTTGAGGTTCCGTTCATCAACCTCGAGAAAATCATGTTTGATCCGAAGAAGCCAGCTGTGAGCCTGGGTGGCCCGGCCGTTGCGGCCTCCGAGCCAAAGGTGAACGGCAGTGAAGTGGAGGGGACTGGCCTGGAAACTGACAAGGAGGCAGGTTCGTCTGTTAAGGAATAACATTCATTTGAAGCTATCTACATAAAACAGTCAAATGCAAAACGGTTCGTATATGTTTTGAATTACAAATTTCAGCGGTATCTGATGCATTGTACATATTTTTTTTTTAAACAATGGCTTAAGACACATGGATAACATACGCTGTTCATTATGAGATAGTTGCATAATAGACTGTAGAGTTGCCTCATTTTTGTCTAATAACCTCAATTGCCAATCTGTTGAAAGCATAATGAAAATTTATATCAGTTTAGTTCTTTGAATCATGTGTGTGCATAGCTAAGAATACATAAATGTAGACATGCAATAAGGTAGGTACTGGTAGTTATGGATTGTGCTGGCTCACGTCCAATTTTCTGGATTCTATTTAATTTTGGTGATAAATGCAAGCGTCCCATCCGTATTGGTCGGTTTTATGGAAAATATATGTACAATTGCTGATTTTTGTGATGTCATTGAATTTTATAACTATAGAAATTAGGGTAACGAATATGTTGTGTGTGAGAAGGTAAATATCGTTATCCAGATTCTCTTGTGTCTTGGAATTATATATACCTATGTGCCCTACGTATTTTTTGTTTGTTTTTGTTTATGCTTCGTGTGCGTTCTAGTTGCTGAAAGATAGAATATGTGCCGAATTCGGTATGTAATAAATGGTAAAAAATATGCGCAGTATTTTCCTTTTTGCTAGACTTATCTTAACTGTGAATAGTGAAAGTTGGACGCTTGTGATCAAGGGGCGGTCTCCGACGCTATACTCTTTATAGTATAGGTGTTACAGGGAGTATGAGAAATCAGTTAGTTTGCAAACTACCTAGGGAGTTTGCAAACTCCCTGAACGATCAGGTAGTTTGCAAACTCCCTAGGCAGTTTGCAAAGTACCTGGTCGAACAGGTAGTTTGCAAACTCCCTAGGTAGTTTGCAAAGTCCCTAGGGTTGTTGCAAACTACCTATAGGTAAAATGCGAAAACGGAGAAACAACAGCCATATAAGCTTCATTCTGAGCTCTGAACCAATTCATCGCGTCTTATCTACATATCATGTATGTACTCGTATATGGCTGTTGTTTCGTCGTTTTCGCATTTTACCTAGGTAGTTTACAACAACCCTAGGGAGTTTGCAAACTAACTAGGGACTTTGCAAACTACCTAGGGAGTTTGCAAACTACCTGTTCGACCAGGTACTTTGCAAACTACCTAGGGAGTTTGCAAACTACCTGATCGTTCAGGGAGTTTGCAAACTAACTGATTTCTCATACTCCCTGTAACATAGGCACACTTTATGACAGTTTATGACCCCAAAGCACTTGTGATCCAATTATGTAAATGTTTGTTAGAACTATAAATGTGAATAAGGACGCCGACAAAATAATCGTTTGCTGTCATAGAAAAAGTGTAATAGTCGCAGCTTTTTTTGTTTCAAGGGTTTGCCTAGTAATTACACTAGACCTGGCTAATCGGACTCAAGCTCGATAGGAGGCACCTAACTTCTATTGGGAGAAGGTAGCGCATGGGTACGTCACACTCACAATGAACATTAGTCAGAGCGGTGATTGTTCAGATAGAAGTGCCCTCATTGACAAGCTTCTCTACAATCGGCAATCTACGTGCAGAAGCTGGCGTCTTTCACAGCTGCTCGTGCAAGGCGATATCGGGTCAAGGAGTCCATATCTTCTAGCGAAAAAAGCTATTCTATTTATAATTGCAACAGGACAGCATGCGTGTTGTTACGTATACCGGATGAATAACGTATACCTACACACAACGCCTTTTTTAGCGCTGACTGACAGACGGTGCTTTTCACTGCCTAACTTTAGAAGATTTTATCAATATCTACACAAAATTGTTCCAATAAGCTACCAAAACACCGCATTCTTTCCGATATCCAGCCCAGCTGGGCGCGTTCAGACTGACATGCTAGAGCTATTGGGCTCACACTGCAGAAGCCAATCAATCACACTGCACGCCGATCTGACCTGGCTCTGCCCCGCTCGCCCCTCCCTGGTGTCGCTGTGGGTGGGGAGTCCGGCTCTCTCCCCTCTCTCTCTCTCTCTCTCTCTCTCTCTCTCCCTCTCTCTCCTCTCTCCCGCTCCCTCCCACCGTGTGTCACATGTGTCACATTTGACCGGGCCGCCGACCGCTCACCGGCGAGGCGACGCTCGCCCGATTGGACCTGCCCCGCTGTGCACCTGCGTCCGACGCTCGACGCCAATCGCCTAAATGCACCCAGTGGCGATCAATCATCTATAGGGCACTAGATATTCGGCACGGTGACCCCGTCTGCCGGCTTGGTTCGGTCCGCACTGGATCCTCTGCCCCGCAATACCTAACCCTATTCCTACTCCGTACCATTTATAGCCGTGATCATATTCCGGATTCAACTTTCCGGATACTGTCAAACGCAGTGCACTGCGCACTTGCATATGTCAGCCTGTTTTCATGCCTTTCATATCTCTCCAATGTTTAAAACTGTGTCTTTCCGTCCGCTTCTCGCAAGTGTATCTCACCTCTTCATTCCTCGTCCTGTACTGCATCCGCTAATCCCTTTCATGTGGTCTTTTCGTTTCTGCCCTCCTGTTCCAGGGCTTTCCTCGTCTTACTTACTCCAGGGCTTTCCTCGTCCTCGTCTTACCGAGATGATTCTTGACCTGTCCTCATGCACTTCATTGTCTCATGAAGTCGTTCGTGTCCTTTTCTGTTCCTTTGTCAAGCATGGTGAAACTGATGCGTAAGAATATCGTGTCTTTTTTAATTATTATTCATTGTGTAGTTGCAAGCGCAAACAAAGACTCATCAAAGTGTACTCTTTGCCTCCAATCGTTTCGGCTCCGTTCCATTCCGTTCCATTTCGTTTCGTTCCGGTTCGTCCTGGCGTCAGTGCCGTCTTTCAGAGAGAGCCGCGTGTTGGACTGAGTCAGGTCTTAGCGCCGGGGAGGGTCGAAATTATTGAGAGATCCGATAATGGCTGGCGTGTGAGATGAAAGGTCGGCCGAATTCGGCGGACTCCGATCGCCGTAGGATATCGCCACGCGGCGCGTGATAAATGGCCGGGACACTCAGCAGGCCGGGTCCGCCGTCCGGTGACGTCACTGAGACGGCACCTGGCGACGATTCTGGCGCACTGCGCACCGTCAGCAGACGCCGACAGCAAAACAACCAACACCCGAACAGGTGCCGGCAGCGAAAACTGCACAGACGTATAGTGGGTGGGAATAAGAGACAGTGTCGATGTAAGGCAGATCCGTTTTTTTCTAGAAAGTGTTGCCCATTTTTGAGTGTGTTACTGAGCACTGCAGCACTTGAGCACGAAAAGAAACCAGTGGATTCCAAATCGTATTATAATTGCCCTGATGCAGACAGAGATGGAACAGTAATAATTGATCTATTGTCAGTTCATGTGTGTAGTTCATATGTATATTAGCGCTCGCCAGCCCAATCATATTTTTCTTATCGCCCGGGGCTTTCGACGCTCCTGCCGTCAATGCCGTGTGACCGCGACCAATTGTCCCAAACACAGGGGAAGGTAGGCTCGGCGCCGCCCCACTGGACACACGTTTTACGGATGGAGACGCATCAGCGGGCGCGGCGGCGGCGCGGCCCTCTCGGTCGGGGCGGCCCTTTGTTGGTGTGACGGCCACCAAGATTGGGCCGTCAGAGAGCAGCCGGTGTGCTCCACGCACTGCCGCGGCAGGGGAGAGGAGCGCCCTCCACCGCCCGGCCACCGGCACTGGGGCAGACAGGTGGCACCCGGCCGAGGGCAGCTCCAAACGACACCCGCTCCTCAGCCGGTGGCACAAACAGCTGGAGAGCTCTGCGATTCTGCGCTGCTTCACTGACATCGGTATATGGGGGACGGGGGCTCACATTCCGAGGGATATTGAAGTTGGTTTGCTGTATGCAAGGATTGTCTATGATTTTTTCCTTCTAAAAATGAATCAGTGACAGACTTTTATTAACTAAGACGTGATTTCGTGTCTTTTATCAATTTGTGACAAATAGCTTCACTTCTTCGATAGAAAACTATCGTTAAACTCCGATCCATTCCTAACATTTAAAATGAGAAACCATGTAACAGCTCAAGCTCCGCCCATAGGCAGCCGGCAAATCATGTGCTTTTATTATATGTATTGTCATGCCTTAGCATTTCAGGAAACAATTGAAACTTTAAGATGCGATTAGCATTGCTCAAAGTGTTCACAGACAGAGCACCTGTCTATGGCAGCTATGATAGTATTTCGTTATTTCACACAGACGCATAAATGGTTGATTAGCCTATTCCATTGGCATTGGACTACCTCAACAACACCGAAGTATCAGTTCATTGTCCCCTGCTGAATCACTTTGCTTGAGAACAGCATATTGACATATAACTATATCCACGCTCCCATATATGTAGGCATCAACTATCAAATAAGAGAGCTAAGCCACCGTGAACATCTGCCGTTTGCGTGAGCGCGCGGACTACATGACCTGTGGTCAATGACGGGGCAGGTGCTGAACCACATGACGCGCGGTCAGCGACGGATAGACCATGGGTATACCGGGCGCGTGCTCCTCTCGGCTCTCCGCCACTCTCCGGAGCGAAGGTCGTCCGATAAGTCGCTGGGCACTCGGCCGATACGTTGAGTAAACGGAAAACACCACCGAATCGTCATCCGGGCACACGTGGGCTGGCAGATACTCGTCATTGGACTCTGGGCGACCACTCTCAAGCCGAAGGCCGCTGCGCGTTGGATTTAAGTGGAGGTATCAGAGGCTAAAAACGCAAAGGTCATGCTGATTTACACGCGTGTTTTGACAGGTGCTAACCAGGGATATCCATATGTTCAATGGCATCCATAACACATATCGTGTAGCCTGTAGGCGTAATAACCGACTCAGTTCCTATTGCATCCACTGCAATAACTCCGGGTGATTTTGCTAAATGTAATATTATTTTTTAGTATGGCATGGCATAGACGAAAGCATCCTATCCTTTCAATTTACTAAGGAAATACCTACAAAGCATTCGAGAAGCATTTTTATACTAATGGAGGTGGCCGCGGGGAAGGTGTGGGAAGATGGAAGATCTCTTCCTATCACGCAGTGAAAAGGGAAAGTTGCAGAAAAATGGAACGGCTGGGAATTACATAATGTCTTGTTTCTAATCCTGGTCCACAGGCACTCTAACCTCAGTTTACCTTATGTCTTATATCCTTTCGGATTTGCAATTCCCCTTCATTCGATCCGTGCATGCGCTTCATTTATTACTTGGGGAAATTGTAGGTACTTATTCGTAAATAGGGTACCTAAGTTAATACGGAAGATCGGAAAATGTGGGATGCAATGGTCAAGAAATGGTCAGCACCCATTTATTGGTCAAAATGGTTAATCACATCTTCATTTATTTTCAGGTATCGTCATAGATATTAGGTATGTTAAAATCGTGTCTTAACCCTCGCCCGTAAACGGCGATCTGCCACCTTCGCCCATGCAGGGGGGGGGGGTTGGTGCGACCCCCCCTTGGCGTTTGAAAACGGAGCGTCGTAGAGCTTAGCGGAAAAGACCAACGGATTGCTCTCGCCGAGATCTCGCGATGGGTGGTATATTTTTTGGTCCTAAGTCAACATTTGACCTACTTTTGACCGGTCAAAGGTCAAATTTTCGGAAAAATAGACTTTTTTCAAC